GTGTCAAATGAACGAATAGGTAGAAAACAGGTTTTACAGATCTTAAAATATTAGATTACAAAAGGGGTTTTACAACACCTAGATATTTGTCTCAAAGGGATGGTATTATCAAATACGCTGGATGTAATGATTATATTAATAAATATTATTATGTATTATATTAATTTACAGTAATTGTTCCAATTTAAAAGCCAAGATTTCTTACATATTTGTTTGTTTGTATTTATATAAAATGCATACATGTCCTTCAGGGCTTTTAAGAGATGAAATAATCGAGAAAAATCTACATTGTAAAATACTTAAGACTGTAACAGTCCATTAATGAATTCAAACCATGAATACGACTATTACTGTTTTTATTATTATAATAATGCAGTGTATATATATAATTATTTATCTATTACAGTTTTACTACTTATTACTGATTTTCTTACATGTTTTTATTTTATGAGTTGATGCTATATTCTGTCTAGGTAGCTGATAAAATATTGAAAAAATCAAATTGAGTTCTCAAAAGTTTCAATGTATATAGTACATGTACATTGCAACTTGACACGGGAGAAATCAATTTGATATCAAAATAAAATATTTACATTTGCAAATATTTTTCTTTGATGAACCTATTGAAGAGAACATAAGTTCAATTCTGTATGAAATTATTAGGGGGTCACAGGTCATAGTGTTACAGAATCACAGAGCGAGATGATAATTTTTATATTTCTATCTGGTTTCGGAACTTGTCTACTTATTTAAATGCGATGAAAACAATAAGATAATTGAAAGATATTTTTCATTTATATGTAATTGATGTTCAATAGATCTTCCTTCGGGCTGCACATGATCAAGTGACCAACTAAGTTCATTTCCCAAAGAACTTTTTAACATTAGTTTTTCTAAAAACTTCTTTGAATTCAATTTGAAGTTATTTTCCAATATTTTATGCTTCTTACTTTGGGTACTGGGGAATGGAAGCATTTTATCATTAAAAACTTATTGACAAACTAATAAAAAAAAAAACAGGTTCTAAAGTGTTTTTAAAGAGCGTGGATGAAAAGTGTAACATTACCTATTTTTCTAATTTAAATTACTTAGTACCAATTTTTTATATGAAGGGAGGGGTGTCACTCATATAATTTATTTACACAGTACATATTGATCGATTTTGGGGTGTGGATAGAGTTTACACAACAACACACCACCCTTCCGAGTTTCTATGGTCTTCTGAAGAAAAAATACAAAATAATTAATCATCATGTGTAAAGATCTTTAAAGTGACTGCTCTCTTTCATACTTTGAAAAACATATATTTACCTTTACATCCAATTTAAAATTCTGGAAGGTAAACATATAATCTTTCCAACCTGCGCAAGGATCACGTGTTCCAAATTCCAAGTGTCTTTTTCTTTATTTCACATGGGAAATACGACAAAAAGATATGAATGAGGAAACTTTTTAAAATATGTTTTGAAAAACGTAGCATTTTATATTGAATTGTGGAATATTTGTGAATTTCAGCGTAGGCCATTTAAAAATCTGCGCCTAATATCCTTCATTTTTCTTTGATCGATGTGATTCTGCTTTAAATTTATGTAACGAAAAATATTAAATATGCATTGTCACAGTAAGTTTTCAAGCAGTGTATTTCTTTACTAAATGAATTTATTATTGCAGCCCGGAGGACCGGGCTGCTCTATACATATAAGTTTAAGTGTTGGTGTATGGGGATTGGGGTGGGAGTAGTTATTTTGAATTAAAGGTTTTCTAAACATTGAAAAGATTTTAAATCAGAATGTTCTTTCCATTTCTAAAATACGAGATACATAATATATTTATTTCCATAAAGTGAAACTGTAAAAATATATATGTCTTTCATATTTAATATAAAGTTGATTATCATTTACTATCGAAAAAACGACAGGCCCCTTTTTTTTCGAACATCGAATTTTACTTCTCGGATAAAAACGTACTCTGAACAGTTCGTGTTTTATATTCTAAAATTGAAAATTAATACATTTTTAAATATAGGTGATGCGTGTGTCTAACTTCAATTTATATTTTATGTAGCCAACATTTACCTGAGGAATTGATCAAGTTTAAAATGGTATCGTTTTTGATTGATTTTCATCCGACTATAAGTTTTCAAAACATTCGCGACTATCATCTCCATCAATTAGACGCATGCCTTTTCAAACATATCAAAGCGATTTGAAGATCAAGGATCATTTTTATTCAATCTCCCATGCAGAGTTGCCGTTCGTTCCTTTCTCAGATGATTGTAGAATGTATGAGCCGATGGTAGAGAGTGATTTTCATTGTTTACTTTATGTATTTCCCGGGCGACAATTGATGGTTACATCAATGTTTTCTTGTCCATGTTTGTTTTAATCTAGGTGTTTGCTGAATGATGATGAGCATGTGTATTTTACACTCAGTACTTGAACCAAATTGCCTTTAAAGAATCTGCACTAGCTGTATGTGTGTTTCTATCAGAAATTTTTTAAAACATATAACCGAAATGTGTCGCAAAATATATTGAATTATGTTATATTTAATATTGTAAATCTTTCGGAATAATTTCTAAGTCATATAGCTAGAGCCGAAATAAAAACAATGCAGGTACAATCATTGAACTATAAACCATATATATCATTGATCTTACATTATTATGATTTAAAAAAGAACAATACTTGTTTCCTTTGTTATAATAAATATGTGTTGACCGAATCAGTTTATGTCATTTACATTTTTTGTACTAAAGCACGAAGAATACGATTAATTTTTGTTCAAAAGTACTGTAAATGACATTTGAACCTTCATTTGAACCTTCTTTATTAAGATCAAATGGGGTTTATTCGCCCAGATAAATCATAATGTCAAATCCTGAAATAAGGTCTTAAATTGCAGGTTTCTCAGATTTTTTCCCAACAATTTAGATTGTACCTGAAGTGCTGCATTCTCCCTACTTTGATATTTACATTTTTGTTGGAAAATGATATGTTAATTTAGGTTTAAAAATATAAGCTATAGTAAAAACAAAAACCCCCACTACGCAGTTATGATAAGGCTGTCCGAAGGTTTAAAATGTCTTAAAAATATACATTTTAATTTGAGCTAGATTTTATTTCAATATGTTATCCTTGTTTAAAATTGCAGTCAAATTGAGATAACTGTTTATTCAGGTATTATAATAAAGCATTTCTGTGATGTCAGAAGACTGTGTTGATCACGTGACGGACATTTTTGATATGCTGAAATGTTGCACAAAAATTGCATCGGCACAAGTGCATAACACAAATATTGTGCAAAGTTTGTTACACAGATCAATTCATCGTGATCCACGGTACTTAAAAAGTAAAAAGGGGTCAGGTTTAATTTTTCCTTCTGAAGAAAATACTTTACGATAAATTAAAATTACCAACGTAAGAAGGGGTATTTTCCACTCTTTATCGCGATTTATACATAAACGGATAAACTACATAGGATCCCCCAGCAAAATTCAGTTAGAAGACTTACTTCTTTTTTAGATTCACGCAAAATATCTTCAATTTATCCTTGTCTTTCACTTGTGCCAGTCCAATATAAACACGATTCATAAATTCTATTTCTGTCTACGGAAGTGTAAGGGGAGCGTTTCAAACATAATTGTTTGCTATTGCTTGAATCTATGCATATCGGACGAGCAAAAGGAATAGAGATATCTAATTATCAAATGTTAAACATTATTATAGCACACACAAGGTTATAAAAACAAACCTTACTCTTGAATTAAACACAAATCCCCATAATAAATCTACATGCCTTGTAATAATTCTGCCACTTTCCCCGTCATGTCAGCTCAAGTATGCAGTGGCTTGACGTCATATTCTATTATGACGTCATATCTAGGTAGTTCAGAGAAGTTAGTACAGTTTGAACAGTTTAATATTTTACGGGCAGCCTTATCCTAGCTGCGTAAATTGCCATATTTCAAAATTAAGAAATTCACTAGGACAAGGTCACATTGTGTGCCAAAAGTTGATATTAATACAAAGGGGAGAGTGTGCCTCCCAAACAATAATTTTCATTGCAATGCAGACAACACTTAGTCTTTTAAGTACAGCTATTTATAAGAACCAGGCAGAAATGAAAATAAGTGATTCATGATAGTGATAGATTTTTCAAAAACTATCATTTTTACATTAAGATACATCAAACTAAATACTTGATCACAGTTATAAATGGATTTCATGCATAGTTGATTAAAAAATGAATTCAATATATACTGAAACAGTCAACAGTATCCATTGAAAGGTGTCTGTACGTGCAGGTGATTTTTTAAGAAGGCCCGCACTCTCCTTGAATGTGAATTATAAAATATTGAACATCTAGTATCAAAGAGTAAAAAACAATTAAAAAACCCATGGGTTATTTTAATTACGAATAGATATTGTGATTTTAAATTATGTAAAAACATGAAATTTTAGTTATCTCCCTTGGCGCTCTTTAGTAAAAGGAGTTGGAAAGAGTGTATTTAACTCTTCAGTTTAGAAGGGGAGGATTAAGAAATGTGTGTGATTTCATCTTCATTTTGGAAGTTTTGCCAGTTTTCATACATCCAAGGGGCATGCAAGTCTAAAATTTTTATTAGAAAAATATATTCCTAGGATAAAAAAAAATAACTGCCTGCAATTTGCTTAATTTTATCTGACAAAAACAAAATTTCATTTCCTAAACATGCTAAGAGTTTGAGTGTTTTGAAAAAGGCTAACTTGTTCAACAATATCATCAAAACTACTTAAATTCAGTTAATTTTGGGGAAAACGTTTAATTTTGTACTGGAATTTGAACAGTAGCTCGCTGCTGGGGATTAGATCTCAGTATGATGAGTATCTCTCCTTTCCGTCGATACTCCCTTAATCTCAGCGAGATGAGTAGAGACTGAATATTTGGTCTGACGTCTACTACGTCAGACCAAATATTCAGTCTCTACCCATCTCGCTGAGATTAGATACTCCCTTAGTACTGCAATATACACAGTCGACTGGAAGAAATCCTCGACCTCAGCATACATGAAGCCATAGCAAGAAGCAGGAAAAGCCACAGCAGAGATTGGATGGAGCATAATTTTTTGTATGTCTCGGCGCCTCTATGGATGTCATATTTAGATCAGGTATTTAATACATAACACAGACAAATGTCTAAACAAAGACAATATTGACAATTTTTTTTCAAATTGAAAAAGGGGAAAGTCAAGAAAAAATGATAGCAAACATACAGGCTGACTGCTAGTAAAAGTTATCAGTCCTGCTAAAAAACTACCAGCCTAGCTGAGAAAATAATTGTCTTTTGTAAAATTTATTTTTGAAACTTAGAGGTACTGTGAGCAATGAGCAAATGATACCCCCCTCCCTCCCATATGAATATAATAGTGTCCATGTTTTGCTGTAGGAAAATATTATATTAATAATGTTATACTTTCATACAATACCACTATTTTTTTGCCTAATTTTACTCTTAAACACATGAAATCTCAGGAGCTTCTGGGGCTTTGCCCCCTGGACCCCCTTCATTCAAACTATGGTATGACTAAACGTATGACTGTACTATGAAAATCACTATCAAGACCCCTTGTCTGAACAAAGTTATCCACGCCCCCCACCCCCCCTCCCTTTTAATCACAAATCCTGTACTGCTCATGAAACCATTAGTTGATTGGGAAGCGATTAATCAAATTATTAAATTTTAATTAATGAAAACTTTAAACAAGTCCAGTTGGGAATCATTATGTGCAAATTGGTAAGCCCACAGCAAAATTTGTGTGTCTCGGGCAGTCAGGCGCACTGTTATTTCAAACACTGTTTACGGAATGGCCAATGGGTCCTTCTTAAAATAGTTAATATTTAACTAAGCCCTGAAAAAACTCAGATGTTATGGCAAAACCATAATTACTATTTCTCTTATTCATTTAATCAAAATGTAAAATTGTGCCCTTTCAAACTGTATATTTCCAAATTTATATGTATATGATATTCTTCAAATGCATTTCCTTTTATTTGAATTATATAGAAGGGTAGGGAGCCCTACAAAATTTAATTGACAAGCAAAACAACCAATAAAATACTGTTATGGTTTTATCAGTTGAAACGGGGGGGGGGGGGTGTGTTAAAGCCATAAAACCCTATCCGAATGGGGGAGGGGGGCTTCCCAAATATTCCTACAAGCAAATATATACACACATAGAAAGAGAGAGATTTATAAATATGAGAGCACATACAATATGCATGGGTTTCTGCCAATTTTTATACCCCACGCAACTAGTTGCGGGAGGTATAATGTTTTTGACCCGTCCGTCAGTCAGTCAGTCAGTCAGTCAGTCAGTCAGTCAGTCAGTCCGTCAGTCAGTCCTCTTTTTTTGTCAGCGCAACTCCTCATAAACCGCTGCACAGAATTTCGTCAAACTTTGCAGGTATTTAGGACACAATGTGTAGATGTGCATATTACCAGGAAATTCCGATTCCGTTATTTTTTCCGGGAATTTCCGCACTTTTTAACTTAGGCATTTGGCCATACCTTGAATATAGAGATGAACAGTTTGTCAGCGCAACTCCTCATAAACCGCTGCACAGAATTTCGTCAAACTTTGCAGGTATTTAGGACACAATGTGTAGATGTGCATATTACCAGGAAATTCCGATTCCATTATTTTTCCGGGAATTTCCTCACTTTTTAACTTAGGCATTTGGCCATACCTTGAATATAGAGATGAACAGTTTGTCAGCGCAACTCCTCATAAACTGCTGCACAGAATTTCGGCAAACTTTGCAGGTACTTAGGACACAATGTGTAAATGTGCATATCACCAGGAAATTCCGATTCCATTATTTTTCTGGGAAATTCCACACTTTTAACTTAGGCATTTGGCCATACCTTGAATATAGAGATGAACAGTTTGTCAGCACAACTCCTCATAAACCGCTGCACAGAATTTCGTCAAACTTTGCAGGTATTTAGGACACAATGTGTAGATGTGCATATTACCAGGAAATTCTGATTCCCTTATTTTTCCGGGAATTTCCGCACTTTTTAACTTAGGCATTTGGCCATACCTTGAACATAGAGATGAACAGTTTGTCAGCGCAACTCCTCATAAACCGCTGCACAGAATTTCGTCAAACTTTGCAGGTATTTAGGACACAATGTGTAGATGTGCATATTACCAGGAAATTCCGATTCCATTATTTTTCCAGGAATTTCCGCACTTTTTAACTTAGGCATTTGGCCATACCTTGAACATAGAGTTGAACAGTTTGTCAGCGCAACTCCTCATAAACCGCTGCACAGAATTTCATCAAACTTTGTAGATATTTAGGACACAATGTGTAGATGTGCATATTACCAGGAAATTTCGATTCCTAAATTTTTCCAGGAATTTCCACACTTTCCAACTTAGACTTTTCTGCCACATTTTTTGAATATAGAGATGAACAGTTTGTTAGCACCACTCCTCTTAAACTGTTGTACATAGTTTCTTTTATCCCAAAGAGTTTTGCCTATTATTCAAGAAAATTTCTCTCCCCCCCCCCAACCACTTCAAATTAATGTTTGGATTTGTATAATGCCAAGAAATTTTGATTCCATTACTTATCTAGAAACTTCATTCCACATTTAAATGTCCTCATATGTAAGACATTTTGATGTGAAGATTTTTTTGCAATTATTGCCCTTTTTGATCTATACTATGTATTTAAAGTGCACTGTGCCTTTCATTATGTGTTTCACCGTCAAGTTTTGGGGGAGCGTGGGGTATGTGAGCTAGCTCACTTTTTCTTTCATTTCATCTAATTTAGGATTAAAACTTAAAAAATCAAATTTACAAAACTAGAACTCTTTTTCAATTTATAACTACATGTAATAGTATGAATTCATGATGATATCACTAGTACATGGGGGAGGGGGGAAGGTAAATAAATATTTTTTATCAATAATTCAAAAGCTAAATTGTTATATAAATGTATGCATTCTCTTGTCATATGATGAATGTCATGATTTGTTATCATTTCAGATGCAATCTGAGCCTTGTTCTGAATTTCAAAATCCCCTTTGACAACACCTGCACAGCTGAGGTAGTGTAAACTTAAAAATTGAGGACAACCAAAGAATCACCAAGAAAAGATTATCAATTCAACTAACGTTAGTGTTACATATACTTTATATTATTTATGTATCATTAGATAATTCGTTATTTTGTGTTGACAACTTGCAGTTTTTTGCTCACTTGAGCTGAAAAGCTCAAGTGAGCTTTTCTGATCACATTTTGTCCGGCGTCCATCTGTTTAGCTGTCCGTCTGTCTGTAAACTTTTCACATTTTCGACTTCTTCTCAAGAACCGCTGGGCCAATTTCAACCAAACTTGCCACAGAGTATCCTTGGGTGAAGGGGATTCAAGTTTGTTCAAATGAAGGGCCACGCCCGCATTCAAGGGGAGATAATTGGGAATTAATGAAAATTTGGTGGCATATTTTAAAAATCTTCTTCTCAAGAACCACTGTGCCAGGAAAGATAATTTATTGAAACTTATGGGGAAACATCCTCAGGTAGTGTAGATTCAAGTTTGTTCAAATCATTACCCCCGGGGGTAGGGCGGGGCCAAAATGGCTGACCAAAGTTTTACATAGAAATATATAGGAAAATTCTTTAAAAATCTTCTTCCTAAGAATGACAAAGCCATAATTCATCATATTTATATGGAAACATTCTCACATAGTGAGATTCAAGTTTGTTCAAATCATGACCCCCGGGGGTAGGGCGGAGCCAAAATGGCCGACCAAAGTTTTTCATAGAAACATATAGGAAAATTCTTGAAAAATTTTTTTTTCTAAAAAATAGCAAATCCATGATTGGTCATGGAACTACTTTTGGATTTAAACTGTACAATAAAAAGCCATTTTCTACTTTTTCCTACCCTTAGTGCTCAGGTGAGCGATGTGGCCCATGGGCCTCTTTTTTTTAATTATCATTAAGAACATTCCTTTTCGTTTAGCAATCAAGGGCCTAGGGATCCGGGTTAGAATAGGTCCTCAGTACCCCCTTGCTTGTCGTAAAAGGCGACTAAATGGGGCGGTTCTTCGGATGAGACCGTATAAACCGAGGCCCCGTGTCACAGCAGGTGTGGCACGATAAAGATCCCTCCGTGCTCAAAGGCCCTGAGTGCCGAGCATAGGCCTAAATTTGTAGCCCTTCACCGGCAATGGTGACGTCTCCATAGTGAAATATTCTGGAGAGGGGCGTTAAACAGTATACAATCAATCAATCACCTTCTGACTAAGGGCTGAATTATAGTGAACACTACCATTCAGAGACTTTGAAACAGGTATATATTTCTTCTGATCTTGATTCTCTGAATTTTTTAGCTCACCTGAGTTGAAGGCTCAAGTGACCTTTTCTAATCAAAGTTTGTCTTTTGTCTGTCATTGTCATTCTTCAAGGGGAGAGAATTACAAAATTAATAGCATTACAGATATCTTCTAAGGAACCAATAGCCCAGGAAATATGAAACTTATGTGGAACCATTGTCGGGTAGTGTAGATTCAAATTTTTCAAATCATGAACCCCATGTGTAGGACGGGGCCACAACGGATGATCAGAGTTTAACATAGGAATATATAAAAAAAAAATATTTTAAAATCTTCTTCTCGGATACAGCAAGCCTTGATTGGTAATATTTATATGAAAGCATTTTCAGGTGGTGTAGATTCAAGTTTGATCAAATCATGACCCCGGGGATAGGGTGGGACCACAAAGGCCAATCAAAGTTTAACTAAGAATATAGAGAAAAAATCCTTTAAAAATATTCTTCCAAAGAACAGAAAAGCCAGTAAGTTATTTATACTTATGGAAACATTTTCTTGTAGTGTAGATTTGTTCAAATCATGACCCCCCCCCTCCCCTCTGGTATAGGGTGGGGCTACAATAAAAGTGTTCAAACTTGTAGGGAAAAACTCACAGTACCCTGTAAGCATCCTTAGTGTAGATTCAGTTATGTTCAATCATACCCCCCTCTCTCTCTCCCTTACAGGGAGAGGTCAGGACCACGTATGCTTTTAAGCTTTTCAATACAAAGCTGATTTTTTATTTTTATCCAAGCCAGGTGAGTGATGTGGCCCTGGGTCTCTTGTTAAATCATTTATCTACACATATATGTACAGTACAACTCAGTTATAACAAACTAGGACCTGTAAAAGTACTTCGTTATATAATTCGTTATATCCATATTTGTAATTTTGTAATATTTATATAGTTGGAGATCCAAGAAGACTTCTTTTAATTCACAATGCCCGTGTTTGTACTAAACAAGTTTTACTGCAGTTACATGTATGTGGAAGCCAAATAGGAGTAAAAGATGTATTATTGTATGTCATCTTCATTATTTTGTTCAATCCATACAAATGTTTCTTTGAATATTGGAAACTAAAATCAGTAGAAAGTTAGAAATTAAAATCTATAAAATGCAGCATATCTAAACAGAATTTTTGTTGTTGAAAAAAAAACCTTTTTCAGATGAGCAAGGCTGTAATAGTTATACTAATATTCAGAATCAAATAACAGCTAACTACTTGAGGCAAGGATGGGGTGAGGGTTACAGAAGGGGTTACATCACTTGAAAATTTAGAGAAGAATTGTAGAGCTGAGGTTTTTCTCAAGAACCACAGGGCCAATTTTTACCAAACTTGGCAGGACTAAGACCCCTTACAAGGGGTGATAATCAAGAAAAGAGAAAAAATAGGGAGCCACTGGGTCAGAAAAGCTGAAACTCTTGTGTTAAAGCATCCAGAGATTAAGTGTAGATTCTAAATTGTTTAAATCATGTCACCCTCCTCCTAAGAATAGACCTAAACCACAATAGGTATTACAAGTAGGAAAATCTGGTGTAGAACAGAATGACCAGTTACTCTGGTGAGTGTTATGGACCATGGCCTTCTTGTATTCATGATCATGATCATAGAGAAAACGAACCTTAGCTACTGTCCTCCTTCAACAGCAACAAGAAAAAATTGCTTTACGGAATGCCTATTTTCATTAACAAAGTTCACATTTTGAATTATATTTTTTTCCAGATTGATGAATGAACCAATGCATTATGTCAGAGGAATCTAGCTGGAGCACCTATTTAGCAGCCAGGACACATAGATGTACCTGTACAGTTGATACAGATAATCTCAACGGCACATTTCTAAATGATGGCCAAAAAAATCTAATAAAGACACTGTCAGTTTAAAACTTTTTGAAAGAAATCCGGACCAGAAACAAAGGATATTGATTTTTAAGCTCCTCCAAATGTAAAGGGGGTTTTATTGAAGCCAAGACCTGGATACACCCAAGGATATTTAATATTACACCCCTTCAACATAAAATTTTGAATTTTAGTTTGCCTATCTAGTCAAGAACATGGATTTTTTGACATTTGATACACTTTATAATGTTATATTGACATTTTTTCAAGATTTCTTTACTGTAAACTATGTACATGTATTTCAGCAAAAAGTACATTTACAGATGATTTTTCAAAAATTGCTTTAAAAATACAATTGAAATAATTAGATCATGTCTCATAAATGGTTAATCACAGTTACCACAGAAACCAATATTTGTTTTAAAGAAGTTAGGTACCAAAAAAAAAATGTTGTGTCTTTCATTATTTTAGCTAATGGCCACTTATACAGTTTTCTTCATACAAACTAATCACATTGACTAAATTGTATAGGCAAATACAATATTTTTGGAGATGTTGTCATGGTAACCAGATACAAATCACAAAAGCATATTTAAAAATATATATATTTTCATGCATTTACAATAAACTGTGAAAATAATACATGTATGTTAGTCAATAATTATTTTGTATTTCATGGAGATTTTGTAAAGTCAATTTTTTTAAAAAAGCATTTCCAGAACAATTTGTTACCATGGTTACAAAAATTTATGAGAAATCCACTGGTTTTATCTAATATTTGCAAGGTTTAGGAGAACATTTTTTATCTTATATTATCAATTTCTTTTGCTTGTGGTATTTTTTCCACAACATACTCTGAAAATGATATTTTGGTATTTTCTTGAAAAATGAATTTTTGTGATATTCTGTTGCCATGGTTACAGAATATTTTTGAAAAACCCATGGGTTTTGTTTTGTTTTATTACAATAAGGATTGTGGTCTTTCTATCCCACGCTTTCAGTTTTCTTTACCATGTGGGATTTTTTCTAACTATGCTCTTAAAAATGGTTATTATTGTGAAAAATGAATTTTTGTGACATTTTGTTGCCATGGTAACAGAATATTATTTAAAAACCCATGGGTTTTATTTAATTTTATTGAAATTAAGAAAGTGCTCTTTCTATTCCACATTATCAGATTTCTTTAACATGTGGGATTTTTTCTTACTATGCTCCTAAAAACGGTTATTATTGTGAAAAATGATTTGTTGTGACATTTCGTTGCCATGGTAACAGAATATTTTTAAAAAACCCATGGGTTTTATTTAATTTTATTAAAATTAAGAATGTGCTCTTTCTATCCCATGTTATCAGATTTCTTTAACATGCGGGCCTTTTTCTTAATATGCTTCTAAAATATGTTGGATTTGAAGAAATATTGTGAAAAGTGAATTTTATAAAATGACCTATGTTAAATTGAAATTCAGCACCTTTAATAAATCCTATATATTTATATCCTTATGGTAATCATTTATCATTTTGTATGTACTTCTCAGGAAAAAAAGATTTATTTATGGTATTATCATCAAAAAAGCTCTGTTCCTGTGTTCAATAATGGCTAAATTCATTTTTTTCAATTTTTTGCTTGGTTGCCATGTGCATTTACATGGTGCATTGTTTCCATGGCAACAAAGGCTGGCCAAAAAAAATATGTTGTCCAATGATGTTCCCTTGGTCCATGAAGCAACATATTAAAATTTTGTAAAAATCTGAAGTGGTCATGAATCACCCCCTGCCTGGTTCTTACAAATAGCTGTACTTAACTATTAACACATTTTCGTCGTGGCTCAGTAGTCTTTGTGGACCACTAATCTCTGGATTAATAAACATTTTCAAGAAGGATATGAAGATAACGAACAGTATTCAACCTCAAAGTACATAAAACAATACAAAACAAGAAAACATTGATGTAACCATCAATTGTCACCCGGGAAATATATAAAGTAAGCAATGAAAATGAGTCTTGATCATCAAACCGCTTCGATATGTGAGAAAAGGCATGCGTTCAATTGATGGAGACGATGGTCGCAAATATTTTGAAAACTTGAAGTCGGATAAAAATCAATCAAAAACGTAACCACTTTAAACTTGATCAATTCCTCAAGTAAATATTGGCTGCATAAAATATAAATTGAAGTTAGACATGTATACGCATCACCTATATTTAAAAATGTATTAATTTTCAATTTTAGAATATGAAACACGAACTGTGCAGAGTACGTTTTTATCCGAGAAGTAAAATTCGAAGTTCTAAAAAATGGGACCTGTCGTTGTTTCGATAGTAAACGATAAGCAAATTTATATATTAAATATGAAAAACATATATATTTTTACAGATTCACCTTATGGAAGTAAATATATTATATATCTCGTAATTTATAAACGGAAAGAACATTCTGATTAACAATCTTTTCAATGTTTAGAAAACCTTTAATTCTATATAACTACTCCCACCCAAATCCCCATACACCAACACTTAAACTTATATGTATAGAGCAGCCCAGTTCTCCGGGCTGCAATAACAACAGAGCAAACACAGACCTCCGAATCTTTAGAGGTGGGATCAGGTGCCATGGAGGAGTGAGCATTCCCTGCTGAACAGTCACACCCACCGTATGCTCATTGTCATGATCGTGAAATGATGGAAAAATCCGTCGTCAATTAAGTGTATAAATAATGGACTACCAATTGGTATGAAAAACGTCAGTCAGCATTTCATTCAATGATAAATTGTATTTGCTTACAAGGTCATTGTATCGACCATAGAACTAACGAAATGATGACTTTAAAGGAGATGACTGATATTCTTGTTTCATCAACTTGTATGTCCATAATTTACTCTATTCCATAAATTGTTCATTCATAGTGTATGCTCTTGTGTATTGAATCAACTGAGATATATACACTCCGTATGCAGGTGGGGAATGTATATTGCTGCATAAGTAAGGGAAGTCGACGATAGAAAAGTTAAAGTCATCACTTTTATCATATAACTTGGTTGTTAAGTTACCATTAACGTCTTTTTCAAGTAAAAAAAAATCCAAGTATGAAACTGATGTGTTAGACTCTGTGGTATCTTTTATCTCAAGCTCTCCTGGATATATCGTATTGAGGTAGGAATGGGAATATAAAGGTTCTCGTGGAATGCATTTTTATAACTAACATGACTATGTGTATACGGTTATCTTGTAGATATATATTAACTGAAGTCAGAGGAACATTTGAATTGATGTATCATGGCAGCCGCAAACAGTCCGTACAGTTCAACAGAAGAAACAACGAATGCTAACAGAGCTTACCGTCTTCTACTTGGACCCTGTAGCGATCAGCTGAGAGATGTTCTTCGCAAAGAGGTTCCACCGCATACATTTGCTACGGAAATTATGAAGCAAAAGCAGAATCTACCAAGATTAACTCTAGAACAGAGAAACATCATTATGCCTCAATGTGGGTCATATTCTGGAAATTATGACGATTTTGATATTCCACTGCTGTACACTCTTCTACGTAACATATGTAATATTACACCCCATAAAAAGGGTTGGGGTAATGTCCCGGATGTAAGTGATGCATGTCTTTCTGCAAATATCGAAAGGATACGAACGGCTCGAAACAGCACTGTCCATTCTGCCAGACCTTCATTTACAAACTCTGAATTTAACGATATTTGGACAACAGTTAGAGTTGCAGTAGTAGCAATCGACACATTTCTTTCTAATGCAAATTTCTATGAAAAGGAAGTTGACGATTTGCGACACACGACAATGGATCCCGTCCAAGACAAGTATTATAGAGAACAACTTGCCAAACAATATGAAGATGATCAAGAATGTGTTCGAAAACTCGGTGGTATGTTCATTTTCTTAAAAGCAATAGTAAACTTGATTTGATGGTAAAATTTCCACATAATGACTTTGCAAAACAAGCATTAAGTATAAATTTTGTTCATAAGAATTTAAACATAATGTTTAGAATATACGTTCGCTATAGTCTTAAAACGTCCATCAATTTTTTTTTCAGATTTGTAAAATGAAATCTGTTAAGAAAGTTCCTTAAAATTCTACATTTTTCTTTCGTTTAAGAAAAGAAACGAGACCTTAAAATGTGTGATGTTTTTTGCTCATAGAGTCTATTTTTGATACTGATAAGGTTCTAATTGTGCTTTTTTAACGAAGAGAGGAGGGAAGGTATTGAAACAGATAATGTATGTGCAGAAAAACGGATACAACATATATTTATGAAATATCTTAAGCACACAGGTCAACATATCCTTTGAAAAACGTGCGCAAAATTTATGAAATCAGCATGGAATTCCAATATAAAAAAAACTTTTCAATTGAAAAATGACTTATCGTTCTTTTACTAAAGCTTACCAGTTTTATGATGCAAGACAAGCAGAGCATACGTAAAAGTAATTAAGGTCTTTCGTCTTCACGGAAGACCTTATAGTGATTCTATTGTTTCTTCTTCTTCTTCTTCTTATTATTATTTTTCCGTACACCAAATTTTGTGCACGCGATTTCTCGAAGACTACTGGGTGGATTTTCATGAAATTTACAGAAATTATGTATTGTTATCTGAAGTTATTTTTTCCGAGAGATTTTTTAAAAATTCGCTTCTGGTGCCAAGTTACGGGACATTTTCTGATTTTAAAATGACATTTTGTCTACGGTTAATCTCAAGAACGGTAGAAGATATAAATGTGAAACTTTCAGGGATTATAGATCGTGATATTTGCTATCCAGGACGCGACCTTTTGTTCGTCGTCAGTACTTCCGGTCGTTAGGACAAGAGAAATTAAAAAAAATGTATTTTCTAACTTTTTTGTTTTTCAATATTTTTAATTTATTTTTGGAATATTAATAGAAACCCTTCCATTGATGCTTACTATATAATTTTTTTGAATATTTAAAAATTTAAACTCTAGATATTAGCATTTGAAAATCTGAAGCGAGTCCAATATGGCGGCTGTCTCTGTCCACTCCGACATTTCGCAATAGGGGTTTATGGAGGCAGCCGAGCGTTTGCTTGAACGAAAGTAACGTAAGGATAAATGAAATATAAAGGTATACTTTGATTGTCACGTCGTACTTACGTAACAAATTTAAATTTAATCCAAGGTCTACTCAGACGTCTTCTATAATTGGTTTTGGTTAGTTGTCAAAGAAAGAAAGGACTAAAAGTGCAAATGAAATACGAAATATTTGTTTTGCACGACGGAAAAACAGATCGTATATCATAGTTATAAGAAATAGTTTTTCAAGAAACAATATCGATGTATATATGAAGTATAAAGCTTAACTATTGTTTTCCCATGCACACTTGTATCTGATTATACAAACAAGAGAAAAATAAGAAAATCATATTTGAATAGATCGTTTAATGGAGTTTATATTTACATTCTTTTCTCAAAGATATTTAAAGCTATTGAACATATATGGTATCTGGTTCCTTGACCGTCGTAGGGCGAGACATTTGGGGTTTTCAGCGAACCGTTTCTACCTTTTCAGTAAGGTGTAACTAAACGGAATAGTTCACTTTGGGGATAAACGGGAAATTTAAAATAGTTAAAAATGATAACTATTTCACGTCTTTAGTGTTACTTACCTACGATATAGAATATGTACAATGTGTTAAATATACTGTCTTAACCTCGAAATTTAGGCTATAAGAACGTTCTTTTTTTTCTTAATTTCATCGAAGCTGTCACACCTATTTAATGGAACATTCCAAAGAAAAGGCGCGAAGATTTACTTGTGGCGTTTGGCGCGAAATTATGAATAGTGGCGCGCCTTTCAAAGTTCTTAGACAGGTGTATTGTTGAAGAAGTATATACAAAAACATTCTGAGCAGTTGACCCAGTAGCATAATTTAAGCGCGTTGGGAATGAAAGAGAAAAAAGCGCGTTGGATTTTCACGCTTGCGACCTGGATTCAATCCTCTTTGTGGCAATTTTTTTTATCACTTTTCAGCTCGATTTTCGAGGGGTTTTTTTTTTCCTGAATCGGACGGAAGACCTCTCGTTGCTCGCAACGAGATCGTTTCTAGTTTATCCTACATTTTCACACATGTACAAGATGGCCGGCATTTTTTTTCATTTGGGTGCTTTAATGATGTTTATATTTATTTTTAAATGCCATTAAGTCTTCCTAGGAACTAATATTTTTAAATCGAAAGCACAATCTTTTGATTATGTTGGACTGCAAAATGGAACTCTTCTGTCAATTACTAGTTTGAAATTTAAAAAAAAAAAATCATTACGGAACGAACTTTCTTAGCAGCCCATATGATTTTTAACAGGCCTCTGAGCGACCTCTACAAATTTTGGCTCCTTCTGGAATCCTATAGAAATATTAGTCACTAATGCAAATATTTTTGGCAAGCATTTTTGA